GACAAGGTAAAATATGCTTTATCTGGTAGATGAGGAAGGTCCCGGTAGGCAAGTATTGGCAAGTGCGGCTGCCTTACAGTAGAATCGGACAGCCTCCGACAACACAACCCAAGCTGGTGTAGGCAAGCATAAAAGGCCAATCTAGCCGCAACTTGCGCAAGTGAATAAAGGCACAACCTGCTCCGAGCCGTTATAACTCAAACAAAGGTAATATCTATTTCCTCGAAGTGTCTGTTTCAAACCACCACTCACCACTGAAACGATGCCTACCGCCACTCGCCCGCCGCTCTCCTCGTCCGACTGCGCATCACATCACATCGCAGCTAACATCGGCCGACTGGCGTTCAGTCCACGCAGTAGCATATGGCACTATCTCTGTTGGATCGTCGTGACAAGATCCCCGGCTCGATACCGTCCAAAGCTTTCCTATTCCAGCAACAGCATGGTATGGGACGACAGAGTCACGACAATGTTGCCGAATAGCAGTCGAGAAGACATGCCAAGGCCCGTTCTTAGCTAGTCACGCTTGTCTCATCATAGAAGCGCCATTTGCAATGATACAGAAAGCCCTATGGAGCAGGTTGGCATCAACCGCCGTTTTCTGGAGGGTCCGGCACGCTTATTTCAGCGCCATGCTAACTGGCTTCGGAGATGCAAGCGGCGCTACCTAGTCGTCTGAGAAATTGCCAGATGGAGTCGCATCACTCCTCCAGGGGGATACACTGTGTCGTCGACTGGTGCCCCAATAGCCTCCGGCGATTGATAGGGTCTCCATGCCATCTCTAGTTTTGGCATGGCCGAGACCACACAGTACTATTCCCCCGCTATAATACAGCCTGGTCACTGAACGGGTGGCTTGCCGAAGGTCTTGGAAGTCTCAAAGGAAGGGTCCTCCAAGACATCAATCTTTCTTAGCCCGACAACAGCCCTCCGTGGATGCGTGAGATATTCCACTCTGACCTTATGCAAGGCAGTGATTTAGCACTTTGAAAGGTTGTGTGTTGTTTCATTTTCCGGGTAGCAAAGTCCCGCGAGGGTCTTGGAGCAATCAAGAGTGAACGAAACACGCCGAGATCCAAGATGTTCTTTTGAATCCTTGCCTCTAAAGTAAGGCAGCGAAAACAGCAGCTGTGTAGGTAACGATGTACGTTGCCTCTCACCGGAGAAACATCCCAAGTCGGGTTACATACCTTGCAGGATGTAATGGTACCCACCAGTTCGACGAATACATCCTTGCATTTGTGTCCGACAGGATCTCGAGGTATAGGCACTTCAGTCGTCTCCTTTTAGTTCGGTTTAGGTCCAATGGAGACTTTGGGCGAAGCGGTTCCAACTCCAGATTCCAGGGTAGCCAGTACTTGTGGGGGCTGTTCTTGGCTCCTATCCCACATTCCGTTATGTTTGCGCTGTACGTAACTTCTGCCGTTGGGAATTGGGATCAACCTGTTCCCCACAGCGGCCGTCCGAGAAATTGACAGGCAAGGGGCTGCGAGATACGCCTGGAACGTCTCGAAAAACCTAACTGGGTAGACAGTCGCACTTTACTACCGTCATGACCTGGAAGCGCTGTGAAAAGTTTCCACACATCACCAGATATCACCCAGGATCGCTCTCCCAGAGGACTTTGCAGAGGAGAGACGTTCCAATTCTTGTCAGACTGGCCGATGTCTCGGTTGAGCACTACTGGCTTGGCTCCTCCGCACTGGCATTCCTTGGTGCTTTCAACAGCCAAGTGTCAATCGCTGAGGATGCCGGCCACAGGAAGACCTCTCGTCGCCTGACCCTATGCTGCATGTACTGTACATGCAACCGAGTCTCGCAAGGGCAAGACACCCTTGGGCACAGTATTTGGTGAAACAGCATTGTCAAAGCTAGAGGATTATGACTTTATGATGATACGTATTCGCAAGGCAAAATCTATCGAGGTTGATGACAACTCGTTTGAAGTTTAATCTACCCAAACCTGGGGTTTCAATCTCAAGGTCACAATCAGGGACCTACCCGCACTACAAGATTCGTAGGTATGGCGCACGGCCCGGAAGGAGTAGCTGTGGGCCAGACCACCTGCAACCCACGAGGCGAGAAGCTTTCGGAACGTAACGTTTTCGAAAGCCATACAGGGGAAGTTGGCACGCTAATAAGGTGGTGGCATCGCCTGGCACAACTGGACCACTGAGTCCGACCACCCCTTGGGCACCCGCACAAGTTTCGATCGAGATGGCCCAAAACATGCTATTCTCTTAGCAAGTCCGTCCCCTCTTCTTAACATCGGCTGATATAGCCATTTCACCCACGGACAATGGACTAGCCCACCAACAGGATCTACGGTGTGAATTGCTGTTGATGCTCTGCCGCACCTTTGGGAAAGCATTGACGAAACACCGGAGCTCTGCCCAATGGAGATGTGGACCCGAAGTAAGTTCGGTCACCCGATTGCCGAATCTCTGGCAGGAGGCGATCGCTGACCAGTGCAATACTAAAATAGTCACGGACTCCTAGCGTCTCAACAGTCGGTTTGCATTGTGCCAGACGGCTCGATCATGCTTTGCGAACTGTTGACAGTGCGAAACACATCGGCTTGCGGACATTCGTCTGCAGTCTACAAACTGCATCATCCCTGGATCCGTAGCCAAAGTAACTCGCCCCGATATGGCGTGGTGAAGCTCTTGGAGGCTCTCACCAGCTGAACCTAGCAGACACAGGCCAACATGCAGAGGCCATGTGAGCTGGAATACCAGCGGTAACCACGGTCGCATGACAAGTGAATTGCAAGGTATCATATGCTGGTAGAATACAGTCCGTCTGTTTTCGCTTACCTGAGGGTCGAACCTCCAACGCAAAGCTTGGGGTGCTAAAAAGGCATGTATCGTACATGCATGGACACCTCGATGCCCTTACTGTAAGATTATGACGCCTGTCAGTTTGCCTTTAATGCCGCGACTGGGAGTGTCGATCAATGGCTCAATCACTCAACGAGGACTGTTCATGCTACTAGATTCCACCAATCGTCGCTGTAGTGTTGTCATTTTCTTTAGACAGTCGTTCACAACACTGAATGCATGGCGCCACCAATTCTTTCACATTATGTGAACTTGCGTCTCGCTATGGTCGCTTTCCATCCACGACAGATAGCAGTGAGTCGCGATGGTATGCGTTGACTTGGGTCGGCAGACATGCCTCAGCTAGAGGCTGCAGTGGTACCGTGGTGGAGATCATCCGATTCGCAAGGCTTGCTTGAAGCGATTCTCAGATTTATGGGAGGAGGGGTACCAAACATGAGGGGTGTTGCAACTAAGGCGATGCACTTGAGAGTTGGAGCAAAGTCCCTGGGATGGGGAAGGTCAAACATCCTTCAGGCTGCGCTCATCGCGGCAAGTGGTGTCGAGACTCGTCAGACATTGATTCTCGAACTTGTCCCAGAGGAGCACATCGCTTGCATAATGCAGTCGGCTCGGGGCTTGTTCCTTGTCAGCAACGGTCTATGCCGGCCGGTCGTTCAGGCCCCCGAATGCAAGGTCTGGCGAGATACACCTGCTCTGGCAATGGCTGCCGACCGTCTACCACTCACAAGTTTTGGCCAGCTGTTCCAAATGAAAACAAGAAGCGCAGCTCCTCCACAGAGAAACGGTCGACATTGGATCCGCAGGTCTCGCTGTGATCGCACGATCGTAGAAGATGCTGCCGCTGATCAAACTCCCGAATCTATTTTCGTCTTTAAGCTTGACCTTGTCGATAGGATCTGACAAGTTCATTTTGTGTGACGTTTGCTGTCACAGACGGCTTGTTCTATGATGTCCGGATCTTGGTTGGGATGGCCCATGCCCTTCCCGCGTCTTGGAGGTTCCCGCTCAGCATGACAGCTGGGTTGTATGATCTCGAAACTGTTTTGTCCAGGTTGTCAGTCGCCTATGGTCTTAGACTATCTCCCACTGTCTTTCGCCAGGGTCCTCCTGCATGGGAATGACAGGCATCGCGGCTCTGTAGGTTTTCCTCCCGACTAAGCCTGTTCAGATTGGAGCTCCCGGCGCGTCTGACAGGCTCGATAGGAGACATTTCCGACCGGCCAGGATTCAATGGAAGCCAGATTCCGACGTCCCGCAGCGTAGCAGGATACCCCTGGCAGAGGACACGCCGCGTACCGGGGATTTTTCTCTACCCAGCTGGCATCGATTGTGAACAATGGGACTCAATGGAGCTTTCCGTCCATGCCATCCCATACCATAGCCGCGTCCTAAGTGATCCAGCATCGCCCTGTAATTTCGGGCGATTTCCCAGCCGTCCAAGGGCACCCCAGGCCGCCACGCTCGCTAAGCTATGGTGAACGAAGCCACTACCAGCGAACCCTGTCTAGTGAGTTCAGTTGAGTGCGAATGCAACCTTACATTGCGGTCTCCATCAGACGGGCGCAGACTCTCGCTCGCGTGCACAGCGAGATCAGGACCCAATCAGGCTAACGAGAACGGCGAGATGATCTGAACCAACCACCAGGCCCGACCATCGACATTGCCATATCTGGAAGGATTGGGGGCTCATTCACTTGTGCAATTGTCTCCTCCAGATGAGCAGAGACTTTGCTAGTAGAGGGTCACTTCAGCCAGGTAAGGCTGAACCATGGCGTTCATTTCGGCAGCTAAGGAAAATCTCCCATTGGGCTTACAAAACGTTCCGCGAACGCCTCGCCGTTGCGACTCATAGCTTACGTCTGGACACGGCGATAGCCGACATCACTGAACGTGGAGCTTGAGTCAAGCGGCGAAACAGAGATTGTAGTGGAAAAAATTCTCCATTTCTGTGACAAAATGCTTCATCAGATAATGCAGACCTGTGGAGTCTAGATAAATCAGTGAAAGAAGATTTTACTTTCATCTTTCCTGGTGTCAATGTTTGGTGCTTTGGTCCGGTTTGAACAGCAGTAAAAATTCCTCTGCAAAGTTGCAGCAAGCGGGCTTGCGCGAATATTCCGAAGTTGCTGAGTGCCTGTGTCAAAACCACCCGCCAAGATGTGCAAATCACCAATCCACGGCTTCCTGAAGGCGCTGCCAAAGTGCGAACATCATATGCACTTGGAGGGCTCGTTGTCGCCAGAGCTGCTCTTCTCTCTGGCCAAGCAGAACGCCATCGCTCTGCCCCAGGATGACACTGCGTTCCAATCCGTGGAGGCGCTGTATGCCCGATATGACCGGTTCACGTCACTGGACGACTTTTTGGCCTATTACTACATTGGCTTCAGCGTCCTGATCAACGCGGCCGACTTTGAGGCCTTGGCGTTTGCGTATTTCACAAAGGCTCACAGCCAGGGCGTGCGGCACGCCGAGGTGTTCTTCGACCCGCAGGTGCACTTGGCAAGGGGCATCGCGTACACGACGGTCGTTGACGGATTCGTCGCGGCGCAGAAGAAGGCTGAGGCCGAGTTCGGACTGACGAGCTTGCTCATCCCGTGCCTGCTGCGCCATCTGCCCGTGCCGGACTCCCTGGCTACCTTTAAGACTATTCAAGAGCATGGCCACTTCCTGGACGGGACGCTGGCTGGCTTGGGGCTCTGCTCGACGGAAATCGAGAAGCCGCCTGTGATGTGGAAGGAGATCTTTGATCTTGCGAAGGAGGCGGGCATTCGACGGACAGCCCACGCTGGCGAGGAAGGGCCGGCCGGTTATGTCACCGGAGCCCTGGACGACCTCGCCGCGATGCGCATCGACCATGGTGTCAACAGTCGGCACAGCGAGGAGGTTATGGAGAGGCTAGCTCGTGAGAAGGTCATGTTGAGTGTGTGCCCTATCTCAAACGTCGTGCTGAAGGGTGCACCGGCCGTGAAGGATGTCCCCATCCGCACATTCCTAGACAAGGGCGTTCGGTTCAGCATTAACAGTGACGACCCGGCGTACTTTGGTGGATATATCTTGGAGAACTACTGCGCGGTGCATGATGCGTTCGACTTGAGCATCGAGGAATGGGAGCGTGTCGCGACACACGCCGTTGAGGGCAGCTGGTGTGCCGCGGAAAGGAAAGCGACCATCTTGGCCGAGATCAAGGATGTCGTCGGGGAGTGGAAGGGCAAGTTGTCTGCATGAGAGACGAAACTATTTCAGAAGATGGCCCTGGATGATGAAGAATGAGAACTACAGCGCATATAATGACAACCATATAATAGATACACCGCTTTCTAATCACACATCTCCAAACTGCAAGAGTTACAGAATGCTCTTTATACAATCTACCAGTCTGAACGTGTATTCTATACCCTAACGTAAACAGATGCAATGGTGATGATGCATGTCTATGTATGCTCGTTGATAACCGTTTGACCCAACCAAGGAACCCCTTACTCTTCCTCACCCAGTCCAGTCAATCCACCCACAAGTCCCTGCATTCTGCGCCCAAGCAAGTCATCCGAGCTATTCAATTTCACGAGAGATTTATCATCCCTCCTGCTCGTCCGTCCATTCACCTTCTTCTTGCCCTTCTTCTCCGGGGACTCCTCAGGGATCCTCTCGGGCACGCCCTTTGCCTTTGCCCCGTTCGTCAGCGACTTTGTCCGCGCCCTCGTCATGCTCATCTCCAACGGCCTGTCCTCGTCCCCACTTGACTCCGTCCGCTGGTGGTGCCTATCGCCATCCAGCGCTGCGACTGCAGTGGTGCTGACCAGCGCAGCCTTGCGGTCCCGCTCGCGCTGCGCCGCTGATGCGAAAATATCCTCGATCCAATGCGCCGAGCGGTCGATCAGCTTCCACGCGGGCGGGTATACGGTTGGGAACTGCAGGAAGCCGTGTGAAATACCCGGGATCAGGATGACCTCCGCAACATCCTTGTCGTTGAAGCCCGGCGCTTGCGCGTCTGACTCTCTGTACTCGAGCCGTCGGCCGCCCGAGGCATGGAAGGCGGCCTTGACGCGACGGAGCCGGCCGGCGAAGATGACTGTGTCGTCGACGAGGGGATCCCGTTCGCCGGTTAGAAAGTAAGTCTTTGGAAAGCGCGCAAGCAGCATATCGGGTGCGAGGATGGGCGAGAGGAGGTAGTCTGAGGAGAAGTCGGGGCGGTTGTGAGGACCGACGTAGAGAATGATCATGGCGCGCATCATCTCCGGGGTCAAGATACGGTCATTGAAATAGGAAATCATGGATGACATCGCTAGGCGCGTCTGGAGAGGTTCAGCGTGATAGGACGTACTGTTCGTCCTCGCAACGTCGGTCGACGGGGGTTGTTTTGCCTTGCTCCAGCTCGTTGGACCAGAATGTGCGTACTCTGGATGAGGGCTACTGGGTTCCTTCGGACTGGAAGATCGGCTCTGTTTAGCACCTCCGATTCCTTCAACAGAGGGTCGTCGTGTATCATCCTCGTCATCAGAGTGGTGGGGGGTGCCCACGAGATCATTATACTGCATGCTCTTCCGACGGATGATTGCCTTGTTGGCCACCCGCATCCTGCGATCCTTAATCAGAGACATCTGCTCGTCAGACATCCAGTTTCCAATGTTCATGTCGAGACCGGGATAAAACAGGATCAGACCATCTGGCAGAGGAAGATCGGATTGACCCTGGAAACGACGGACAGCAGATGAGCCACTCTCAACAATCATCAGAGTCATCGAGGCGGCCAAACTCCCTCCTGCGCTGTCACCGCAGACGACAACCTTCGGGGTTTCTTTCCCGGACAAGCCTATGCACCGTCCCTTGCTCTTGATGATTGTTGTGTACACGTCGTAGCATTCGTTCAAGGCGTATGGATAAGGATATTCGGGTGCCTTCTTGTAGTCCAAGCTTAGTATAGGTAACCCGGTCTTCGCAGCCCAAGCAAGGAGTCGGTCATCATTGCATCGGGGGTCCATAGCAACGAAGCCTCCACCAGGGATGTCCAACACAATCTTATTGTGATTCTCCAAATCAGAGAGAGGCCCATCATAGTACAACCACGCAGAAACCGTCTCTTTGTAGTCACTGGTTGCCGGCCGAGGAATGCGAATAGCTCTCGGCGGCCATCTCGTGAATCGTGGCCGGATGAGGCCTTGGAAGAAGCGAAGGTAAGGAGTTGTGCCCTTGTTCCAACTGACTCTCAGATGGTCCACCGTCAGGTTACCCCTGACCTTGCGCACCTTCTCGTCCGCCTTTTCCGCAGCAATCATGTAGAAGACAGAAAAGACAATGCTTGCCAGGTCTCGGAGCCACTTGGTTTTGATCTTCATAGCCGTCCAGAAACCCGCGTCCAGTGCGGTCAGTACCCAAGTTGCCCGGAAATAGGTCGCATCGTACATGTTGGAGAGGGGCTCTGGACTAGCTAGGCCGACCAAGGTGCTGAAGTTGCGGGTCGCATAGAGATATATCATGGTGATGACGACTGTCTGCCACGCCGTCAACCTCTTCGAGAACATCTTGGAGAAGAAGCGCATATATGGTGGGCCATGCTTATTTCCCCTTATAGATTGGTCAGCAAAAGCGAGTTGCACGGTGTTTAAAGAATTTGAACGTCGAAGTGTCGGCAGACTTACTTCACCAGATATGCGGACCAAAACGCCAGAACAGCAAGGACTTGAAGTCTCCGGGACTTGACCGAGGGTCGACCAAGGACATGATCTATCATCTTGAAAAGAAGAAAAGGAATAAATCAGGTATAACTCAACAAGTGCTATGCAATGCAAACTGCTCTGACACGCCCTCCGCCGTTGCCAAGGGTGTTTCTCGACGACCCTATGTATCTATCTGGAAGCAGTCTCGGTGTTGTGATGGTTCAGCAAGGATCTCAATAGACAAGTGAGACAGATCCGACGGAGGAGACTAAAGTGCGTGCCGATACCACGGCCATCTGAGCTGCGGGGACAGCTGAGTGAGGATTGGAATCGATCCGAGGCACCTTCTGGAAAGGGGCAGGCTCGTGGGGGCACAATGCGTTGCGTCGACGTGAATCGAGGGATGACAACGCAGAAGGAAATATGTAAGAGGATGCAGCTAGTAGAAGGGAGGGTCCGAGACCGTGCTATGAGGCCGATTGATATTCAATAAAAGAGTTATGAGGAAGTTATTCTGAAGGAATAACAGGAATAACATGAAAGACGACGGCATGCAAAGGAGAAGACGACATAGCCGCAAAGCCGGTGGAATGCGTAGGCCCAAACATGTCATCTGGACAATCCGTCGAGTGCTAGTCATTTGCATGTGATTCAAACCGGACGGAAAGCATGAAAGCGGCCGGGCCAACAGGGGGGTTTCCAGAATGACGCGCCGGAGGTGGCGGCGGGCTAACACACTCACTAACCCCACACTCTCACTGATTGAGGGTTCATCAGCCACTAACAATTGCTTGTGACAGCCCCGCCGCTCGGTACAGAGCGATTGAGTGAGTGGCTCAGTCGCCGTTCATCCTGTCAGAACTCAAAAAAGGAACAAACGGCGTAGACCAGCTGATCGATCGAGTCCGAGATTGACCTGCCAACAATATGAGATGAAGCCTTCAGCAACTAGCTAGGACTTCTTCAGCTATGAAGCTTGTCAAAGCTGTCGAGGCAGCGCAGTACGACGGCTCGTCAGGTTCAATGTCTGGCATTGGGCAATTGTTCAGCCATGAAGGCAGCCCGTCATGAAACGCAGGTGACTGTCTCGAAACTTCGAGGGGATCAATTAGAGCTACGATCAAGAGAATATTGGAGGTGAAGAGCCGACGATATTGAGAAGCGGAAGGTATAACGGCATTAGGCGGTGTGGGATCAGAGACTATCAAGGTGCCTGGGTGTTCCTGGCAGAATTTTTGCATGGCGGCGGCGAGCGATGACCGGAGGCAATTGCACTGAATTGACTGCAGTGACCCCACCAGAAATTTTTCCCCCGGCGCAGAAGCGCAATTATTATCAGTCATAGCCGTTTATTGTCAGTCACTGACGCTCTCTTCACTCATAAGCTGCCGCATGAAATTGACTCAGTCCTTCTTTTGATCTCCTATACCCCGAGCCTCTTCTCCCTTTGTTGATTTCTGTCGTCGTCGTCGTCGTCGTCGTCAACAATGGCATTCCGGGTCCCAGTCCAGCGAGTCTCGGCCACTCTGGCCGGACGATCAAGCCGCCCGCTTTCCACCGGTGTACTAGCTGTGGCCCGGCTGCGATGCTATTCACAGGCGGCCGCCGCCTCCAATCTGGCTCAGGAGACCCAGGGCTCAATTGTGGTAAGATCAAGCTCTTGGCTATGTGACTTGATGGTGGATCGTACAATTGACAAGTCAACTTCAGAGGGACGCCAACCTTCCCAACCCCGATCCCACCGCCGACTCCCCGAGCGCCGCACTTGTCAATGAGCATGCCCCGTTCATGGTTGCGACATACTCCCGACCACCCCCCGTCTTTGTACAAGGAGAAGGCTCGTATATATGGGATCTTGAGAACCGGAAATATCTGGACTTTACGGCCGGAATCGCTGTCAATGCTCTGGGCCATTCCGACCCCGAGTTCGCTGACTTGATCGCCCAGCAGGTGTGTACATTCTACCCCCTCCTGGTGACTCACCGGACGAAAGCCTACAACATGTTGCTAACACCCAATATAGGCCAAAACACTCATCCATGCCTCAAATCTGTACTACAACCCATGGACCGGCGCTCTTTCGAAACTGCTGGTCGAGAAGACTCTGGAGTCAGGGGCTATGCACGATGCCACCTCCGTGTTCATCTGCAACTCGGGCTCCGAGGCTAACGAGGCCGGCATCAAGTTCGCCCGCAAGGTGGGCAAGGTCCTCGACCCCTCCGGCGAGAAATATGAGTTCGTCTCCTTCCACAATGCTTTCCACGGGCGCACCATGGGGAGTCTGTCGGCCACGCCGAACCCCAAGTACCAGAAACCCTTCTCGCCCATGGTTCCCGGCTTCAAGTATGGCGACTTCAACGACGTCGCCGCCATCAACGAGCTGGTCACCGAGAAGACGTGCGGTGTCATCGTCGAGCCCATCCAGGGCGAGGGCGGCGTCCAGGTCGCCAGCGACGAGTTCCTCATCGCCCTCGCCAAGCGCTGCCGCGAGGTCGGCGCCGTGCTGCACTACGACGAGATCCAGTGCGGCTTGTCCCGCACCGGCAGCTTCTGGGCCCACGGCCGCCTGCCCAAGGAGGCGCACCCGGACATCCTGACCACGGCCAAGGCGCTCGGGAACGGCTTCCCCATCGGCGCGACCATCGTGAGCAAGGACGTGGCGGAGAAGATCAAGGTCGGCGACCACGGCACCACGTTCGGCGGGAACCCGCTCGCCTGCCGACTGGCGCACTATGTCGTCTCTAGGCTGGCCGAGCCTGCTTTCCAAAAGGAGGTAACGGCAAAGGGCGCGGTGTTCGTCCAGAAGTTCAAGGAGCTGCAAGCCAAGTACCCCGAGTTGATCTCGGAGGTGCGAGGCCGGGGACTGATCCTGGGTCTTCAGCTGACCCAGGACCCGAACCCCATCATCACGGCTGCTAGGGAGAGGGGCTTGCTCGTCATTACTGCTGGCACAAACACCCTTCGGTTCGTGCCGCCTTTGACCGTCTCGGAGAGCGAGATTGACGAGGGCATTGAGATTCTGGACAAGGCTATTGCTGCAACCCAGGCATGATGGACGGCCTGTAGATATAGATGTCTGCGTTAGCGAGGCATCATGAGCCTTGCTGTGGATATGTTGTTGTGTTCGGCGTTCGGAGTCTTAAAATGGTGCAGGATATCCTGCATGCCTGAATTGAGTTTCAATGAATACCAACGATTTGCCCTTCAACACTCACAGATATCACTTAAATAATCTGATCTTGTGTCATATGCTTCAGGAACTCCACACTATGATAACAATGCTACTCCTCCGCCAAGGTAGTAAACGTTATTTCGGCATGGGTATCACTATCTACCTCCTCAACAAAGGATTACTACCTTCGTAGAGTGGATAGACCCATAGTAATAAACAGAATCTTTGAGACTTGATGAGTATTATGGCTCTCAATATTGAGTAGCTTCACCCTCAACAGTTAACATTTATTACCCTCACCCCGCAATCACATAGAGTTTGGTGTGATTTTAGGAGCATATGCTGTGCATAATGTGCTGCTGCAGTGTAGTGAGGTGCAGGGTGTGTGTGGCACAGATGAACCTCGAATTATGACTGGAAGCCACGAAGACACTGACGTAGCTCAGGAAATGCTGATTTGACGATAGTTCTGCACCCCCAACTCACTCCGAGGCATTACTAAGGCCATTATAAGCGGTACGTTGACCCAGATTCTGAGAACCAGACTGTAAGGAAACTTGACCCCGACACACCAAACGCGCCGAACGCACCATAGGCGTGCAAACGTGTGTTGAAGGCTACAGATCCACAGACAGTGGCTACAGACTCTTCACTTATGACAGAAGCGCACGACATCAAGCAGTTTCAAGGCATCAAACTCCGGTCTATGATTGCAAAAAGACTATTATACAACCATCTAGCAGGACATCTCTTTTCCCCAGATGCTCTATGCTCTATGATCTTCTTTCTTGAGCTGGAACGATGAAACGACCAGATCCACCCCCCTGAGAGACGGTAGGAAAGCTGTCAGCCCTGAGTCCGGGCCCAACTCAAATGCTAAACAGAGTGTGATGATGGCAGTTCTATAGGTTCTGCCGGACGAGATGGCCGCGCCCCCCGAGCCATAGCCGTCTATAATGGAGTGGCCATGCAAGGGAGCAGGCCTCGTCAGACTTCCGCCCTGCATCTAGATTTATTACAATCCTCCCCTCGATCCGCATCCGTCAGAAAGTCGTTTATTTGGCGATTTCCACACCGCCAGTCGCGCCGAGCGCCTTCTTCAAGTCACCTGTATCATTTGTCAGCATGTTTAAAGAACTAAGGAGGGATGAACAGTTTTGCCTTACCGTAGATGGCGAACTGGAAGGCGGTCAAAGTACCAACCATGAACAGACGGGCACCGATGCCGGTGAAGGAGCCACGGATACCAAGCTCCTTTCCGATCTTGACCAGACGGGTGGCAGTGCCCTCACCGGGCAGACCCTTGGTCTTGTTGATCTTGGACAGCATGGTGTCGGCGGGCTGGGAGACGATGGCGGCGGCGAAACCGGCGGCGAGACCAGAGCCCAGGTTGACAACGGTCTGCATGCCGTCGGACATGTCCTTCTTGGGGAAGCTGCGGTAGATAGCCTCGGCGACCTTCTCGTACACGACGAACTTGGTCATGGTGTAAGGAACCCTAAGAGAGGACGTTAGTCGACCACGGTTGTTCCGGGAACGACAAAGCCGGCTGGCGATCGCACGGGTCAACTTACTGCTTGAACAGGATGGGTCCGAAACCAGCGTAGAAAGCACCAACACCCTCGTTCTTGAGGATCTTGCCGAAGCCGCCGATGAGACCGCTGGCATAGGTAGGCTCAGCGACGAGACGGATACGGGTGGCCTCGAGGGGGCACAGGGCAATATCGGCGAAGAACTCGCCGAGAGCAGAGGAGACCAGGTAGACACCGGTCCTGTAGTTGGCGGCGTTCTCGTAGCCGATCAGGTTGATCGACTGCTGCTTGAAGAACTCATAACCACCGAACTTGAAGGCGCCCTGGAGGAAGTAACCGGCCGCGGTCGGACCAAAACCGGTGAGCAGCGCACCAGCACCCTCGTTCTGGATGACCTGTCGGAAACCGCCAATCATGCCCTTGTTGTAGGTGGCAGGCTCGAGCTGGATTCTGGTCTTGACGCTGTGGGAGGAGCATGATTAGCTTCGTTGCTTGATGATGTTTGCGCACCCCAAGACCTTGACTTGATACGGTCCGCATCTCGAGATCGCGACATCGCAAGACAGCTGAAACACGAAGCCCACGGAGAGCTGATGGGAGGAATGGTATCTTACACATCGACGGGGGTGAGAGCACCGTGGGTGACTGAACAGCAGACGGCGCCAGCAAGGGCGAATCTGGAGTAGAGGGCAAGGCCGCTGAGCTGAGTCGGGGCAGCAGCCTTAGCTTGCTGGACGACGGCATCGACCTTGGTCGAGCCGGTGGACTGGGCAGGAGAAGCCATTGCGACTGATGTGTGGTAGCAAGGAAAGGGGAGGACCGGAGAAAGATGCCGCGCTGAGAGGAAGACGAATTGAGTGGAGTTTGAGGTCTCGACGACGAAGATCGCGAAACGGGAAGCGGTAGGAAAAATATGGTCAGGGTAATGTTTTGAGGCTTTTTAAGCTTAGCAAAGATGTTTTTCAGTCCTTCCCAGAGGCTGGAGGAGGCCAGAGAGCGGCAAGGCGGCTGCCGAGCTCCAGAAAAAATTAATGGTCGGGTTTATTCGGGTGAACGGACCAGCGAGCGAGCAGACCCACCGTTGCCAGCCGCCGCCATCTGGGACTGCGGTGGCTGCACTGAACAAGTGAGGCGCATCTCGGGGGCGTCGGAATATCTGACTGAATGCCTCTGATCTCTCGCCAGTGTTTTTCCGAGCTCTACATATGCATCTCGCCCGCCTGTCAGCTTGCGCCGTCCGACCCCGTGGCCCGCATGCTACCTCTCCTTGGAAGTAATGACAGTATTGCCATGTCTTACATTGGTTTGATGTATGCTCTCTTGCCTATTAATCGTATAACTGATCTACTCATATCGTATTTTGAGCAGCTATATATTTTGTTCTCTGACGGTCGATCTGTCGAGTCGCAAAACAAGTGTTTGTCGCTAGTTTTAGTGGTTGATGGCGTACGAAATTCACAAAGGAAGAGTATGTGTCACTTCAGATCACTTCTCAGGACGGAAATAGACAACCCTGTATCCTGTATTGGTCCTTAATGCTTGTATGTGAGGGACCGCAATGTACACTGACTGACGCATTGCATTCTTCACGATCAGCGCTCTTCAGAGGATATAGTGTACAGTGCAGTTTTCCAGGGGCTTGTCAAACTATCCATTTCTCAAGTACACCACTCTTCCCCATGAGCTCCATCATTCAATGCATATCGGTCATGATAGTGGTTCCACCACGACGCTAGGAAGCCATGAAAGTCTCTGAAACCTCGAATGGTTAAGATGGATTATCATCCATTGACTGTACATCCGTGCCTCGAGTCCTTTCAATGAGCTACTGATATCTCAGTCTTCGGTTGATGTTGCGTGCATCAAGGCGATAAGCTGGCAGGAGAGCTTCCTTGCAAATATGCATCTTGGAGTCTATGTCAGCCATAGTTTGTCAACGGGGACCATGGATTGTTACCGACTTCTTCACTAAATGGTACTTTCGTAAAACCTGAGCCTGCGTACAGTTGTTTTGAGGAACAACGCTTCATGAATGCTTCAAGTTGGTGAGGCTTCATCATTCTTGTGGTCGTCATGCGATTGACTAATGCTGGCACTAAACATATTATACACATCATCGGTGACAGAACGTGTATCAACAACATCACTGATTGCGTTAGCAGGCGTCCGTTCAGAACAAGAATCATGGGCGACTTACTATCCTTCACGTTTACCGAAGTCATCAAGGTACTGCAAGTGTTTGATGCCGTTCACATCATCTCCAAACCTGAGAAACTGTATGCTCACGCGTGGCCGAGGAAACTGGCGGTCTTGGCACGTCTTCATCAATTTGCGAATGGGCTGTTCCACCCCGCAAGCTGCGAAGGGATCAGCACCCCAGCAGCCATCTGTGAACACAAATATGCTGATTGGCTTCGATTTTCGGAGGAACGAGAAGGATAGCCTTCGTTCTGTGCCTCCAGGAAATAAGCGTGGAATGATGACGCGATCAACCAGGTCACCGAGACTCTTCTCCATGAACAAACCATCTTGGTCATATTTACAAGCCTCGAGAATATGCAGGAGTGGTGTGACGTGTGAATGTTTGTGCGTTGGCGGATCATCCTTCACCTTGGAAGCAAATGCAAGCTCGATACCATTGTTATCGATAGATTTCGATATGTAGCCCAGGGTGTAGAAAATGCTCTCAATACTCTGTTTGTATTGCTGCATCGTAGAAGAATCGTCGACAAAAAACAGAAAATCGCGATCGTTCAGCTGAGTGCGTAGACGCTGCAGAATTCGGTCTGTCTCGTGCGTTGTCGCCGAATTGCTGCCTTTCCTGGCTCTGCACCATTCGTCTGCTTGCTCCATTGTTATCTGACGACGGCCTCCAGTGTTTGAAGACGCCGAGCCAAGAGAGTCCATATTCGGGAGATTGGGACGTGAGAATTTCGGGGGAAAGCTCGGTGGTGATAAGGGAGAGGTCGGTGAGAGATAGTCTGGGCTATTGGGAGTGCTATACGTGTGGGGATTCGAGCCGCCTGAAGTGGTGATGGGAGACGAGGATAGCTGAGGCCGTACCGGAGTTGTTGGAGCGCTCGAATTCTGATCAGGGGTAGCAAAAGAAGTAGGAGAACCAACAATGGCGAACACGTCTTGGTTGCTGGAGGTTACGCTACCGTTTGAAAGAAATCGACCGTGTTTATATTCATGGCGTGAAGGACCAGCGGGAGATCGCGTGTTGAGCTGTTCCATCAGTGAATCAAGCTCATCGATTTGTTCTTCCGTGGAGAGTCTCAGCTCCTCTTCTGGTTGGTTCAAGATTTGGGTGAGCTTGTCGAACATCTCTTTTGCGTCAAAACGATTTTGAGCTCGGACGAGCATGTGTTGTTCAACCAGGCCCAGGACTTGAGGAGTGAGAGTGTCATATGACCCACACTTTTGACGGATGAGTGTATGAACCTCGTCAACAACCTTGAGCCTCTCGGTTCCATCATGAAAACAGCCTCTATGACCTTTATCGTCAAACTTGCTCGCTTTGACACGTCGAGCATAGTAATCGTCACGGCCTCCCCACCCGAACGCCACCCAACATGCTGCGTCACTAATCACGCAGCCAGCAGAGAAGATGTCCGCTGCCGAGGATATTCGATTGATGCCCTTCTGAAGGTATGCATGATGGTGGCTTGCTTCTGGAGCACCTACGAGCGAGGGGTTAGCAACTCATGCGTGACACTCGACTTTCATGAGCAATGTGACACGTCATACCGTATATGTGGTTTCCATGGCGGTCTATGCCCAAGCCATCGGGCCCTGCTCTGACGTGGCTGTAGCCAAAATCCGTCAAAACGCAAGAGAAGTCATACAAGTTTCCTGACCGGCCTTTGGTAAGGAGAATATTGTCGGGTTTGATATCCTCATGTATCCTAAAAAACGAGGCGAATTAGCTCGCGAAGGGGACCGAGGATTAAATGCAGACAACTTACCCTCGATATTGTCCTGGCTCGCCATTGTCGGGCGTCAATTGGTGGACTGCGTGTAAGCCTTTGAGCACATCAAAGATACCAGTCCAGAATAAGCGGGTATCCTCTGGGGTCTGAGGGGGTGGGTTTTCTTTGAAGAAAGCGAGCAAATCACCACCATCTGCGTATTCCAGCAATAGATTAAACGTGCCATTTTGCGAGAACGATCCATAGTACTTTATTATGTTATCATTCTTTTGATCTTGTAGAACCATGAGCGCTTCCAATTCTCTGTTGTATTGGTTGCGAAATTTATCGTCAGTGTAAGTCTTCAGTACGACTTCACGGGGAACCTTGTTTTGGATCTGCAGAACGCCTTATTAGCCCTCATCACTCCAAGATGGCAGGGATCTGGAGGGAAGACCAACCTGGTCTGACTCGTTACACGACTCGTCAATCTGGATTAGAGAAATCTGCGCCGCATCGCCCCTCTTGAGTACTTGTTCTTCTTCGAAAGGCAATACATGGTCAGGCGTCAGACGCACATTCGTAAGCTCGAAGCGTCCACGAAAGACCAGTGGGAAGAACATCCATTGCGCGCGATACAACTTATCCCAAAGATCATCGTGGATCGGTCCTTCCAAAGCCGGTTCTGGGCGAGTCTCCAGTGGAAACCGATTGTCGGAGAGGCGGTATCGCATGAAATAAGATATCGAGCTGCATTTTCCGATATAGACTAGTGTTGAGAAGATGAGGAGGTATTGAGTCTTTATGGTATGAGGATCTCCCACGAGACGTGCCTGGTACGATTTCAAAGCCGTTCGAATTTTGGGTTCTGTCCAGTATCCATCCACTTCGTGAGGCGGGATGTAGTTCTTGGACTCGCGCCTACCATTTCTTCCCTTGTACTTTTTCCGTGTTTCGTTGACGAATTCCGTGAAATCTAAATCGGTGTTGGTATTTGTCTGGACTGGTGTTGCGTCCATTGGTGACCGGACGAAAGCGAGTGGTGTCACTGGGCTTTGTGGACCTGCGCCTGGCTCTTCGATTGTAGCTGGGCAAAGGTATGACTAGTAGCTTGGTGTGTCAAGGCCGCATCTTGAATTTCTCTAGTGTATATATATTTCTATATGTCGTGGAAGTGCCTAATTGGGTATGCCGACGAAGTGTACACCTGAGAGCAGAAAGATGAAGTTGACAGGATGAGATGATGGCGGGGCAGGTGGGAGGAGCGGGCGGGGAATAACGGTATTCGGCAGGCGACCTCGAACCAGAGACTTGGGCTGCCTCCCGTCGAGTAGATGGCTGGATAGGCACAAGTAGCTGTAGGCGGCGCAACTCAAGGCTAACTACCTTGGCTATGGTGCCAGCGCACAATGTTTTGCATGGGGCAATCAAGAGTGCATACCTTGACTGCCATGGCGGACGAAGATATCTAGGGCGATTTCACTTTATAACATTACGGGGTAGTGCGCAGGAGGCACCTGTTAGGGGCGGCTAAGAGTGGTTCGCCATTTGGCGGACCGCAGCGGCGGTCCCATCCCCGTTCCCAGTCCCCCTCAGGGACGCGAGCCAAGCTTGGAGCTAGGAGAGTCCGAAGGCCCACTCCATATGCTTTAACGTGCATGTCACTGATGCTTAATCGGTCGCTATCTTGGTCATCGATCGCGCAACTAGGAAAGTCCACATCGGCACAGCCACATGAGGCAGACTTAGAGCCTGACCGCCAGGCGGGGCGCGAACGGCGCACCGTATGTTCACGTACACTAGAACTCTGACAGGTATTTTCTTTTTCCATTCGGTAAGTGTCCCACAATTTATGCAAGTGCTTTCACAGGTG